GCGGGAGCTCGACCGAGTTTAGATGGGGGAGCTGTGGACTGGCCACCCCCAGAGTTCTCAGACTGACCGTAAGCCTTGCTGGTCGTGGAACTCTGCGGGTTTGGCTCCTTGCCTGGTCCGTGGGAAGAGTAGAAGGAAGTCTTGAGAGAAGTTGAGTTGTAACTTCCTGCTTTCTGTTTGGAATGCTGGGAAATGGAGGAAGGAGAGGCAGGAACAGCTGCAAGCTTGGCTGGGGGACTCTGGGAGTGAGGATCTGATGCTTGAGGTATTTTTCTGTGAGTAGGAGAGGAATTAGGGGTAGTGAGACAAAACATTTACTTTCACATGCAGTGCAGGAAGTAAAAACACAGCTGTCAAAAGGAAACAGGCTTTGTTAGGGACTGAAGCGCTAATGGAGATTAACCTTAGAGCTACCCTGGAGAAAGAAACAAGATAATGCTAGTGGATCCTGGCACAGGCTCAGAGCATGTGATCTGTGAGTGAATCTTACGAAACCTATCAAGAACAAGTCCTGCTCACATTCCACCCCAAAATCAAATGACAAAAGTATGATTTTTAGGACCATTTGTTTTTTTTGCATCGTGTATTTTAATAAAAATTAAGCACATTCCTCCAAATTCGTATTATTGTAATGCATCTGTTGTTTTACTTGAAGTTACTGTAAAACAATTATTTAAAAAAATGTATGTATAGATACGTATATGTATGTGTATGTATATATATATATATATATATATACGTATTATACGTATATACAGATATGTATGTATTTTCATAACAATAACGCAAATTCGAGAAAAAAAGTCCTTAATAAACAAAAAAACTATGCAACAATGAAAATCACGACGCATTTTGTGAGATTTTGGAGATTTACACAGAAGCCGTGCTTGCTTTTGAGCTTTTTGTTGAGATCATCACCCCACTGTTTGTATTTATGACAGTACATATATAAGTCAAGTGGTTCTTACTTCCACAGATGGGCGCTGAGGTGGTTCTCCACCATGACACTCATGGCAGACCGTAGATGGTGCAACCGTCGATCGAAAGTGAAGACACCGTGACCCAGAGAATGACTCCCAAATGAACAAAGCTGTTGGGGAAAGGCCAAGGATTAATACTGACGCTCTGTCTCATTCAATTAAGATTGTTTAAAGAGTCACAGTCATTTAAAGACCACAGACAATGTCATGTCTGAAGCTCAGTGGCCAACTATGCAGTCACAAATGTAATGCTAGATGACACTGTGGAAGTGTTTAGTTTTACCGCGGCTGGTTTGGGATGCCATGGAGTCGAGTGCCAGTCTGCGAGGTCATCGTTCCCCTCTCCTTCGCTCTCATCACCTGAGATGTGGGCCTGGGTGAGAGGAGAGTGTGGCCGGGTGCTGCCATCCTCCACATGGGGTTTATCCTCCTCCAAACTTTCAAACAATGTGGGTGTTCTGCCACACAAACAGATGAACAGAAACAGACAGTTAAGATGTCCAGCAAACTACAGGTAACTATTCGCAAACACAGAATGTACATTAATTATATATATATATAGTAGTTGAATATATATAATAAATTATAAATATATTTGATATAATTTATATCAAATTATAATAACAAAACAAAAAATATATATATATAAAAAAATAGTTTCTCTTGATTTTTTTTCATTGATGTTTCTAACCTAAATGCAGGGCTGTTCGTCAGAGGTCTCCGGCAGAGAGGCGGTGCGGGTGAATCTCTGGGAGGTTCTGGGCTTACAGTCGGAGCAGCTGAACTCTCTGGGGCCTGAGACACCCGATCACGAGCCTTCGAGCTCATCTTCAGCTCTGCCACCAGCTGGTCAAAGTTTTTACTCCTGCCTTGCACCTTCCTGCGCTGATGAATGGAATGAATCTGGAGAAGAGATGATGATTTTTTATTTTTGGACAAGACTTGCAGCACATTTTCTGTGAATTACATCATTCATAAAACGTAAATGGTGAGAGTGTAAGTGCTTTCATTATGCATTGTGGTTTTGGCTTTTGTGCAATATTAAGCACTGGAAAGCCTTTGGGACTGTGTAGTTGTAATAAATAATTTAGAAGTGCTCACCCCTATGACTGCACAAAGCAAACAATGTGTTATTCTCACTTTGTGCCCCAAAAACCATTTTATATAAAACTTGTGGAGCACCGTGCCCTAGACTTTGAACATCATCCAGCTGTGAAGCAAGACATTTATTCTTCCTTTATTTCTTAACCAAAAAAAAACAAAAAACATGCATGATATCAAATACTCACAATAACTTTGAGGTTGAAAATTGTAAATATTGCAATGGTTTTAATACACTTTTTATTAGGCCATTTAATACGCTTTAGTAACCCTAAAGACAGCTTCATAATCTAACGGATATAGAGATGTCTCAATAGTATTTTATCAATCAAATAGTCAAATATTTAGTCTTTTATTACCATTTTTCACTCAAAATTACTCATGCAACTTCCTGTGCAGAATGTCTTATCTATTACAATGTTTTAGTAAATAAAAAACAATATGAAATTATTGTTCTTTATATATTGTCATATTTGCATTTTAGCTACCAGCCCTATAGACAGCCAATATCTGTTGATTTAACAAGAACCTGAAGTCACTGAGGCTTTTCCTGTAATCCCTTCCCCACTTCCTGTATGTCATGTCCGCTGAACTTCCTGTCTGTGTACACACTGAAACCAGCATCCAGTGAATGGCTTCAACCCTCTGAAGGTTAGATAGATTTCTACTATTACTACAGGACAGCAAAAAGCATCAGATGCAACAATTCTGCTTTCTGGAATATTCTGTCAGAATAAAGATCAGTACTTAAGACATATTCACTATGAGTTTGAAACATTGCACACTGATAATAACATAGGTGATAGGTGGAAGTGGTGGTCAACTCACATTGCAAGTCAAAAGTCGAGTACAAACTTTCTTTCTCTCGGGGTCCAACACACCACAGTGCTTGTCAAGGTCACATTCTTTTTCTGTGGAAAAACGAGAAAAGCATTTTATCATCAAAAACATAACATACTAGGTAGATTATACACATTACTACATGTATGAAACCTCAGAAGCCAAGAAAGTCATAAAATATACTTCAATAATATTATGCGTATTAAAAATAGTTAACAACTATTAAATACTACATACACATACATATATTTATATATATGTGTGTGTGTGTGTGTGTGTGTAAACGAATGATTGAATAATCTGTATACATAAGAATGGCATATTATGAAAAACTGATCTGGATCTAATGCAAATGTAGCCTAATGTTGATTATCAAATCTAAACTGTATAATATATAGGTTTAGTTTGGAGCAATGGATATGAAGGGCCTCAGTAATGACTTACTGGAGACCATTTTGTACGTCCTCGACCCACGGAGGTGTCCAGAGGCGACAGGGGCCGAGGCAGCCTCGCCTCTTTGGGATTGAGGCCTCTCGGTTGAGGAAGGCCGATTGGGTGACGGGCCTCCATGTGGCCATGGGGGGTCTCTCTGAGTAGGGGGAGGGGAGCTCCGCGTGGGTTCGATAAGAGGGGGCTGCTTAAAAACAGCCGATTCTGAATGACCCGAGTTTGAAGGCGAGTGCCTGGTGGGTGGAAAGATCATCATATATATATATATATATATA